ACACTGAATCAAATACAGGCAAACTCTAATAAGAGAATTCAGCAAACTTACTAGATATAACATCAACTTTAAAAAACAATAGAATTTCTCTGTATCAAGGATAACCAACTAGAAAATGTAATCAGGCATAAGATATCACTAATAAGAGCACCAATTTGTACAGAATTTCTAAGAATTAACTTTGCCAAGAATATACAGAATTGCTATATTCTTAATTCTATGGAAGCGTATGAAAGAAAACCTGAATGAAAAATAAGTACTGCATACTCTTGAAGGGATGACAACATTATAAAGATGTCCATTTTCCAAAAATTGACCTATAAATTCAAACAATCCCAATAAAAATTTCAGCTGGATTTAATTTTATAAACCTGAAGAAGCTCTTCTAAAATCTGAATAAAAAAATAAAGGTCTACAAATAGATAAGTCAACTTAAAACAACAACAACAACAAAGAAAACAATAACCAAAGAGAAAGGAATTGCCCTTCCAGATATTAAGACACAGTAAAAGTCATAATAAAAAATACAGAATGGTGTTGGTTCAAGAACAAATAGACCAGTGGAACAGAAGAGAGAGTCATAACAGATTTGTGAACCTAACTAATACACAATGAAGATGGCACCCTACACAAATCAAAGGAGAAAGGATGGCTTGTTTAGTTTACAATGTTAGAAAATGCTTTTCAAAGAAAATTAAACAGAATTCCTATATGATACCTTATAAAAGTTAGACTCCAAATGCATCAAAATTTAAATATGAAAAGTAAAACTACAAATTAACAAAAGATTAAGGAGAATAGCCTTATAACCTGGGTATAGGCAAGGAGTAAAATCCCAAAAGTATAATCTATAAGGTAAAAAAGTATTAATATTATTATTACAAAATATTCTATTTAATGACAAAGTTAACAGAAAGATGACAGAATAGGAGACGAAGTTTACAATGTCTAACATTGACAGGGAATAATTATCTGGAATATAAAAGCAATGCCTAGACAACAAGATCTCAAAAGAAAACTTAAGTGAAGAAAACAAACAGGCAATTAAGCCAAGAAGAAACCCAAGCATATGAAGAGATGCTTAGAAGCTATTAGAGAAACAAAAGTAAATAATATAAGCTATCACTTTATTTGGGAGCTCTGGTGGCATAGTGCCTAAGGCACTTGACTGCTAACCAGAAGGCTGGCGGTTCAAGCCCACCAGCCACTCCTCAGA